TCAAAGGGCTGACTTGGGGTTAGTAAGTAGGCAGGTAATGGGAAAGAGTATGATAAGAACTAGAACTGGGGAGGACTAGGCAGGGCAAGGCTCAGAAGAAATAAGAGGGTGTTGTGAGAGGGCATTCCAGAGGAAGGTCCCAGCCTGTGGGAAGGCCACAAGGCATGACACAGCATGCATTTTCGAAGCCATAAAGCCTGTTAGTGGGTTGAGGAAAGCTTTCGTGTGAAGGAGGAGCAGGCAACAAAGCCAGAAAGAAGTGCGTGCCAGGGCAGCATGGGTAAACTGGACTTGAACTGGAAAAAAGCTCTGGAGAGTGGACAAAGGATTTTAAGCAGGATGCAGCTTCATCCACAGCTTCCCATGCAGTAGAGAGAGGAGGCAGACTGTTAGGAAAAGAGGAAGCATGTGACTTTCAGGAGAACAGAGGTACAGATGGAACTGTCAGGAGCTGGTGACTTCATTAGTAGTGGAGGTGAATGGGAAACCTTGCTTGCAGAGAAAGGCAATCTAAGTTGACAAGCAAGTTTCAGAAATGCAAGCATGCACTTTTGAAATTGAAATGCGACTATTGGTACTAAGCAGTGATGTCTGGAAGACAGTGGAATGTGTGTCAGATTCTCTGCAGATTTCTGGGTACAGAATGGACTCGGGTGTTTGGGGAGGACATCCCCATATGATGCTCTCCAGCAAATGTGCATCATAAGAAGGCAACTGCCTAAGGATGTAGGCTTAGAGAAAATAATTATTTAAGGAACTGGTGGGGGAAGAGACCCACCCCCCGCCCCATGCAGAAGTTACTGGAAAGACAGAATGAACACTGGGCAGGCCCTAGCATTCTGTATTCTACACTAAAATCACTTCACAGAAGTCACCCCCACCCCTCAATCAACTTATTTGACTTGCTGCTTTTCCAATTTTTTGACCACTCCATCCAGAACTAACAGAGCAGGCAATCACATTTTGAATTGAAGTTTACTTAGACCTTTTAAAAGACTTGCTGTCTGGAGTAAAACATTGTAAAAGGAGATCCGCTCAGATAATAACAAAATGAAAGGGATTATAAGGTTCAGAAAAAGACAGTAAGTATCATTTAGTATCAGAAGCCTGGATGCCTGAACTCTGCCTCTATTCATCTTCAGTTGGGTCATGACCACTGCCGCTTGGACACAGGACTCAAGCCCCCATCTGTTGGGTGCCTCTTCCCAAACATTCTCCTTGTCTCCACTTGAAGAGAACACCCACCTCAGCTCGTCGGCCCTGTGCCATTGATCTGGGATGACTTCAGGTCTCATTCTCTCCCTCTCTCCCAAACTCCTACCTGTGCTTCCCTTGACTAAACCCAGGAAGCTAGACGCATATGGTAGATACGGGTCCACCTTCCAGGGCAGAAACCATCCAAGAGAAAAAAAGAATCTGTCTGGCACAGTGTTCATAATGTGTTTTCTTGCTCTTGAAGCAGATAGCCATATAATAAGACTGAATCACATAACAGCTACCAAGTTTTTCAGCATCTTGGTGAAAGGGTATATGAATAAAAAGACTGTTGAATGGAATATTAAGTAAGAGGGGTTTACTCTGACATGTACTTTGAGTCAGAGTTGGCCTTGGCTCTACTTTATCTTATATTGTTATTGAACTGGTTCAAAAAATTGTGAATAGAGATCAAAGCAGTTTAAATAGATTCATCCACTTGTGTAAATATCCTTGAACTCGCCCCGTCTTCCGCTCCCCCTTCCCATTGCCAGATCCATTCAGCACCTCTAGAGGCTGTTAATACATGTAATGATTGTAATAAACATCGTATTTGCTTTGGTTCCAGCTGGCTCCAACCACCAAACTCTGTCCATAGTTGCTATTGTTATCTTTGCTTAGTAGACAACTGCATTGTTATCATTAGAAGCCACCTTTGTCACAGATTTCTAAATGTTGATCTTTATACATTGCAGTCATTGTTTGCCTCAACATGTTTTTAAGTTTAAATTAACCATTATGTTTTGTTTTTAAGAATACTTAGAATTATTAAACGTAGGGATCTAATTGATTACACAGTTGAAAACTTTTCTTATTTCATGTAGTAAAACTTTAACACATTTTTATCAGTTTTTCTCATCCTTTATAAAGCTTTCAAATAAAAAATAATAAGCCTGGTTATATGTGACTTATACTGGTAAACTAGGCTATCTTTCATCAAAAGTTTTTAGTGGCACAGAAGTACAGTAATTCCTACATGGCCGAATTTATATATTACGGTCAGGAAGATTTGTTATAATTTGTACTCAAAAAGTTGGAACTTAGATATCTGAAATCCTGTGGCCTTACCAAAATGGTCATCATTTGATATATTGAAATTTTCAGTGACCTAAAGTGAGGATTGAAGGACTCTGGGTCAGATCAGCTACATACTTGGGCTTTCGGGGTTTTTGTGGTTGGCTTGTATAAGTAGTGTGTGTATTTTAGAAATTAACCCTTGCCAGATGTTTGATGTGCAGATATCTTCTCCTAGAGTGTAGACTACCAAAGAGAGCAGGGAGGAGGGGGCAGAGGATAGGGCATAGGCATAGGAAGTTTAGTGGCGGGTGAGGGAAGCATATATACTCATATGGAGGACAAAAAATGTAACACCAAAGTTACATAGATACGTAAATGACTGAGAGAGAGCAAAATGTAGTAAAGCAGAAATAAATGGTATAAGTAAAAACTAGATTCCAGAATTAGACACTCTTCCTAATTAAAAGCAATAAATACCTATTGAATTTGCCCAATAATCTTCTAGGAATGATTGCCTTAAAATGCTTGTTAATTTGATATTTGTTAAACCCCATTTGTTTTGTGCACAGTATCATGGTAGGCATTTGCAGGTATAACCATGGATATAGTTGGGTCCTCACCCGCAGGAGCAACCTCCTTAGGACATTCTTACAAGGTATGGCTTTCAATGGAGGTCAGTTCAGGTGGTAGGTGATAGCATCACAACTGGACTTTGTAAGATAAGTAAAATTTCTGTGTGTGGAGAGGAGAAATAAGAGCTTCCCTGATTAACAGGACAGTGTCAACATAGCCACAGCAAGTGTTAGAGGACATATTTGTATAATTGAGTGGTACTCAAGGATAGGCAGCGATTAGGGATATCTGAAGAGTTTTTAAAAAATGGAAAAAATGACAAAGAACTCCAAAGGCCCCACCATGGAGATAAGGCCTAGATATCTGTGTTTTTCTAAAAGCCCTGTGGATGATTCTGGTGCATAGTCAGAATTGAGAGCTAGTAGTGTGGTCTCATATTGACTAGGCTGTAAGGGGTGTGAAAGTGCTATGGGAGATGATACTGGGAAAAGATATTGGCGCCAAATGAAAACCAAAGTTTTGGTATTGTCGGTTTGTTGGTTTATTTTCTTTTTTTTAATTTCCATTACATCACCGCTGTCTCTCCATGAGATATATCAACCAGATATCCCTTAACAAAATATGATCCCTTGTGTGAATTCAAAGCAAAGCATGCTAAATGCGCTGAGGAAGAGAAGCCAGTCAAGAAACTTGTTCCAATTAGATATTGCTGTATAATCCTCCCACTCCTGAAACTTAAAAGGACAGCCATTTAAATATCACTCAGAAACCTGTGGGTTGACTGGGTTCAACTGGGCATTTCTCCATGTGATATCAGCAGGGGCGCCATAAATTGGGAGATCAATTGGGTTTGCATCTTCAGCATGGCTCACTCACTTGACTCTCAGCTGAGAGCTCAGCTAGCACTATTGACTGGAAAATCTCCATGGACTTGTCATTGCATAGCAGCTGGATCCAAGATAAAGCATTCAAAAATGCCCACACAACCAGGCTTCTTATGATCTAGGTTTGATAGTCTTGAGCATTACTCCCACCATATTCTGTTTATCAAGCAAGTCATTAAATCAGCTCAGATTCAATGGAAGGTCAGTTAGCTTCACTCTATCCCTTGGTGGGATACAATTTCCTTCATACAGAGAAGGAAATTGATAGCAACTGTTTTTTAGAGAATTTCTGTTCTTCAGGGGGCTGGAGGAGGGAATTGGATGAAAACGGGAGGGAAGAGCACAAGGGACTATGGTGATGGTGCACAGATGAATTGGTGGGAATTTCACAGGGACTATACCGAGATCATAAAGCATACATGGTGTAAAAATGAAGAATGATGTAAGAAATATATAAAATAAAATAAAATAAAGCATCCAGTACTGTAGCATTAAAATACATAAAGCAGAATTTTGGGACGTTTAGAAACTTCCCGAGAAAACATTAAATGAGGATAAAAGAAATCTGAATGATATAAAATGCATATGTTGTAGATTTATATATTAAATTCCTTATCTGACAATATATACCTTCATTTCAGGCATCCATAAAGACTGTCTGTACACACACACACACACACACACACAAGCACTTGACTATACTGTCATAAATCTGAGATACTGATAACGTTTTCCTAACCTCACAACCTGGCAAGTTCTTAATATTTTATTTGTTTTCTGAAAAGAGCAGCATAGATGGGGGCTTTCTTATGATTTCCCACATTGTCATGATGATGAGAGCAGTTTTGATGCATTCTGGGTGTTCTGTAGACCTCAGCAGTAACTGGAATTATCTCCTGATTTTCTAAGAATGTTGAATTGAGAATTGAGGAGAATCATTGCCATTCCCTGTTCTCCATGTATTCTTTTAAGCCCCTTGAGGAAAAAAAAAATTAACATTTTTTTGTTTTAAGTCTGCTTGATTTTCTGAAATGCATTTTGTCATCCTAGCAAGACACACAATCTGAGGGGAGAAACCAGGTTGTGGGGATGATGTAACTTCCTGGGCTGTCAGTAGTGAGTTCTACTCATTTAGTGCTTCTCTCTCAGTGTCCTCATATGATTTATAGCAATTCTTTCCAAACTGGATCTCGGCATGAAACCACTCAGAATGAGGCATTTAAGCGCATAGCCATCGTCCTGGGTAACACTCAGATCTGTTTGCCATTGCAGGTCGTCACGTTGTGGTACAGAGCACCAGAAGTCTTGCTTCAGTCCAGCTACGCCACCCCTGTGGATCTCTGGAGTGTTGGCTGCATATTTGCAGAAATGTTTCGTAGAAAGTAAGAATACCTTTTGTGTTACTCTGTCTTCCTTGGAAAGCGACTCCTTGGGTACTGGATTATCTAAGTGGCAGTATGATGTTTTTGTTTCAAGTAGGGCCATGATATCCAGGTGCATCTGCTTCAGGCTGCCACATTCAAGCCTGCCCTGAAACCTCCTTCTCAGTCCCTACAAGGTAGTTTTGTAGCTTCTAGCTCTCAGGAACTCCAAAAAGGAACACTCCATTGCTCTTAAAATTTATATTGTTTTTATAGTGGTGCTAGGATGTGGTGAACATGAACCATATATTATATTATGTTATGTAATGTTATATATTGTTCTAGTGAAGAAATATCCTCAGGGTGGACTTTGCTCAAAGGAGGGGGGCCAGGCTATTAAATAATTTTGATGGTGAGAATTGTTGAAAAATTTGATTGATTAAACTAAAAATGATTAGGCAAAAAAGATTTCAGCATTGTTTCAGAATACTTTAAATGCTGTCATCTGGAGGAAAGATCAGACATACTTGGGCACTCTACAGAGCAAAACTAGTTGCTGAAATGGGGTAGGGTATTTAACATTTATCTGAAAAGAATATTGGTGTTTGTGAAAATAATGAATTCTCATTGGATGTCCAAGGAGAGGGTGAACCTCATCATATCAGGGGTATTTTCAATGACTTCTCGCTAGATGACCTCCATGGCCACTCTGATGCTAAGCATCTGTGATTCGTTTGTTTGAATTTCAGGTCACAAGAAATAACCAAACAATATAATAAAGATCTGCCAGGAAAATAATCCATATCTCAGTACTAACTTCAGCCTGGTCAAAATTAAACAGGGAACTTAAATCATAATCTAATCTTTCTTTGTTTTCTATTTTTATTGCCATGGGAAAATGTGAGTTGGGAAGCTGAGTATACTCCCTTTGGAACTGTTATGTGACAGTTCAAGGTGTCAGTCATTGCTATTTTTGTTTATTTGTTTATTTTAACCAAATGAAGTTTTGGGTATGTGAAAAATTTTTGGCCTATTTATAGAATTCAACAGAGTCATCTTGGATCACAGGAAGGTGTCATGGCAGGGAGGTCAAAACATACAGGAGTTTCATGTAGGCCTACCTTGTGCCAAGTGCAGCACCAAACCTTTTCCCTTATGCTACCATTTTATTCCTCATAGTAACTGAGCTGCGATGGTAACTATGTATCAAGCAGCTATAAAGTATCAGGGGCATGAATCCAGAAGTCTTGTGCTATTTTTCTACCAAAAAGGGAAGAAAGAGTAAAATATCGAGTTCAGCTCCAGTGTTTGCCAAAGAGGTTAAATAAGTGTTATTCAAAATGTGGTCCTTGAATCAGCAGCATCGGCCTCACATAGGACCTTGTTGGAAATTCATATTCTCAGATCCATCCCAGACTGAATGGATCAGAAGCTCTTGGGCTGGGCCTTAGCAACCTGTGTTTTAAGAAGGCCTCCAGGTAACCTTCATTCATCCTCCAGGTGAAGAATCTCTGCTTGGATGATAGGATCACCCAGGACTGGGCAGCCTTTAAACTAAACAAAGTACAACTCCTAGAACTCTCCCTTGAGATTCTGATTCATTATTGGGATGGGATCAAACATTCCTGTTTTTAAAGTACCTCTGGCAATCCTTTTCATCAGAAAAGCATGGATTTCTTACTGTCACTATTGCAGACTGGGACTTTAAGACAGTCATTCCAATTCATCCCAAGAATAAGTGGGGGCAGCTAAGGGTTGATGAGAGAAATGTTGACTGGAATTCCATTCATGTGTCTAGAATTGTCCTCAGATGTAAAGATAGTGCTTCTGTTATAAGGGGAGAGGCGATCAGTTATTTTTCAGTAGTACAAGACTTGAGCACCAACCATATTGATGATAAAATCCATTATTTTTTGAAAGATATTAAGAAATAAATTTTAAGATACTTACTAGTGAATATCATTAAGCATTCATTAGTAAGGGATCTGCTGTATTTTTTAACTATAGGTAGTCACCACCTATGGAACAACTGCAACCCAAATTTTCATTTTATATTAATATGTGTACATATATATATATATATGTACACATATATTTATATTCACATTGTTCCACTGAAGTGGTAGTATAATTCTGCAATCTGGTTTACAGAATCTTATATAAACTGAAACTTTTATATATATATATATGTAATAAGTTTGCACTAGTTCATCATAACCTATTTTCTATTTGTAATACTTTACTGTGGGAAATTTCATTCTGTGTTTCCATCTAAGATGACAAGAATTCACCTCACTCAGTACCAGGTCCAGGAAAGGTAACTCAAATGTTGGAGACTCAGATTAACATTCCTCTGAGGATAGCAGCAACAGTTTGCTGGCAAAGTGAGATATTGGATAGAGAGAAACCCACTGTCTCTTTATATGTACACGAAAGGCAGCACCCCCTCTCTTAGAGAGGTGCAGATGTAGTAAATTGAGAAATAATTGCCTGTCAGAGGAAGCAATATCAGAATCCAGGCATGTGTGCCTTTAAGGCTGAAAGAGAATGAACATGGGCCAATCACACACCCTTCCTGGGGTGGGTGCGCTGTCTTCTAGGTAGTTCCTGCCTATTTGGCTGTGACCTTGAATATGGCCATGGTATCTGACCCTTGTTCCTGCTAGTTCATGTTTGGTATTTCCTATGATAACACACCGATATCTGAATGTGCATGCTTCTTACTTTCGCCAGATGTCAGCCCCTGGCTTGACCTGACTCCAGCTTGACTCCTGATTCAGTGTTGACCAACCTGTTGCAGTGCCCAGTGGAGAATTCACAAGCCATGGATTCTGAAAGCAGACTCCCTCCTTACCTAGCTAACCTTCCTAACCCTAAATCAGGCACACATGGCACGTGTCCACTCTGGATTCCTTCTTGTTCCTAAAACAGTGGTTCCCAATTTTTGCCCTCTCGTTTACCAGCCATGTGGTTTTTGACATATATTTATGACAGCTATACTATTATTTACCTTTTTTTTTCCACTAGGAAAATCAATGTATCTGTTTCTGCCACCTCAGCCTAAGCAAAAATATATAAAATCACAGGTTGATGAGCCCGTTGTTTGCTTAATACATGCTAAAATAACTATATTACCACTGAAATTACTTTGAAAATTAGTTTAGGGCCTCCCCTGGTGGCGCAGTGGTTGAGCTCTGGGCTGCGAAGCTGCCCGCAGCCTCTGCAGCACTGGTGCAATCCCACCAGCAAGGGTCCCACATGGCATGCAGACCTCTCCTGCTGTGCTTGCTACTCCCCTCAGCAGTGTATTTCGTCAGTCTGCCTGTTCTGTTCCCCGCTCTGGCTCTAGTGAATTCTCTCACCCTTCCGCACTTCTGACTGTACCCAGTGCTTGGATAGATAGATAGATAGATAGATAGATAGATAGATAGATAGATAGATAGATAGATAGATAGATAGATAGATAGATAGATAGATAGATAGATCTTTTAAAAAAAAGATTAGTTTATATTTGACCCCCAAAATCATCTCACATAACACCAGTGATATATGTCACACTTTGAAAGCCCTATCACAAGTGTTTCATTCAAGCTACAAAAATCTTACTAAGTAACTACTATTTACAAAGCCCCTTTCTAGAGGGGCAGCTTAAATCCTGGTGGAGAAGAGAGATATTGCATGGCCAGTTCATTGCTAACCAGACCTGGGACAAGAGCTCTAAAGAAGTTCATCCACAGTGAGTGGGTCTAATGAGAAGACTATTTCCAAAGAAGGAAAGGGATTTCTCAACCAAAGGCTAGAAGTCAGGCTTATTCTTCCTTGCAGTTCACATTCTAGTTGTCAACACTGAGAAGTAATCATTTATGTTTCAGCAAGGCTGACCACCCTCTATCACCTAGGGAGAAGAGAAGCTGAGGGAGTTAACACTTGCCTGTCATATGATAGATGCGGGCCAGGCCTTCCCATGCTTTATCTCATTAAATCCACATTCTGAGGACTATCGTGCAGGGTTCCCAGATGACAAAATAGAGCCTTCCACAAGGAGAGTAAAAAAACTTGTCCCTGGGCACACAGCCCTTAAATGGCAGGTCTGCCCCAACTTTTGATTTTTCTGCGCTGCCCTTAATGTTGTTTGACCATTTTTTTTTTTCCTGGAATGTTCTATGTGTTATTACAATGTAGTGGCAATGATATTTCAGAGAGGTCAAGAAGCAAAACATACACATAATAGCTTTGATTTCCGATCTCTCTTATATTATGAAGGTTGACCAGTTATCTGTGATACTATTAAGAGCAATGTACCTCCTCTTCTAAAATAAATATCTAAGAAACAGGAACACAGTACAAAGAATCTTATGGCAGATGGTTGACAAAGAGCCAGAGAGTTTAATACCATCTGTCACTATTATCTGGGTTTAATAATTGCCCACACTGACCCACAGAATGGTAAGGACTGGATATTTTATCTCCTTCCTTTAGCTCTTTGTCCATGGTAATCCATTTTTACTCCACACTGAGTTATATTTTAATAATAAAAAATATTACTCTGAATTTGCTCGTAGACAACTAACCAGCTTGAGGGTTGGAGTGAGGTGGGATCAGATGGGATAGACAAATGGGTGAGGTAAATTGATTTTTAACTTAATAACAAAATTAACTCTCTAGGTAGCTATTGGTCACTGTGTGATCCTAGTCAGAGCTGTTGTCTGTGACTTAAAAGTTATGGGGTTTCCCAGGTATAGCAAAGTAATAAAAAGAAAATACAAATATAAAAAATAAAATGTGTTACTAATTCTTTGAATATGGAGATTGTGGTAAACAGATAGTAATTCTTAGAAACTGTGAGTTGCACCTGTACTGATCCTAGCTAAGAAATGCCAAATGCTACCAGGAAGAATATAACAAATAGAGTCACTGTTAGAAGGAAACAGACAAGGCTTCATGATTCTCTCACCTATGTGAGACAAGCCTCTCTAGGCTTGTCATCATTGATTTCTATGAATTAGACTCCCAGTAACTGA